TGTGGATTTAATTTGACATATACACATTAAAATGACTAGAGATGTCGAACATCTTTTTATGTGCTTATTACCCATTCATATATTCTTCGTTAAATCAGCTGTGCAAATCTTTTGCCCATATTTTGACTGGGTTGTTTTCTTCTTGTTATAAAGTTATAAGAATTCTTTATATATTCTGGATTCAAGTCCTTTATCAATATATGATTTGCAAATATTTTCTCTCAGTCTATGGCTTGTCTTTTTACTTAATGGAATCTTTTGAAGAACAAAAGTTTTAACGATGAAATTTAATTTGTCATCTTTTATTTTTATTGCTTGTGCTTTTGTTGTTATATATGATCTTTGCATAATCCAGTGGTTCCCAACTGGAAGCAGTTTTGCCCCCAAGGGACATTTGGTAATGTATGGAGACATATATTTTCTTCACCACTGTGAGGGAGTTGCTACTGGAGTGTATTGGATAGAGGCCAAAAATGCTGCTAAACATCCTGCAATGAACAGGACAAGTCCATGACAAAGAAATATCTAGCCCATAAGGTCAATACTATTAGATTGTGAAACACTGACCTAACCGAAGGTTATGAAGATTTTCTTCTTTGTTTTCTTCAAAACGTTCGATAATTTCAACTCTCATATTTAGGTTTGTGATACATTTTGAGTTCATTTTTGTGTATGATATAATGTGTAGGGATCTAAGTATTTTGCATGTGGATATGCAGTTGTCTCAACACCATTTGCTGAAAAGATAAATGGATATCTGACCCTTTTGAATTATCTTTCCCTTTATAAATCCCTTTAAAAATTAATTGACCATAAATATTAAGGTTCAAGTTTTCTTTTTATTGGTGTTTCCATATATTATTCCATAATATTACTTTTAACCTACCTATATCATCTGAAGTGAGTTTTTTGGTAGGTAGCATATTGTTGGGTCATTTTTTTTTTTTTTTTTATCCATTCTGACAATTGGTGTGTTTAGAACCTTTACATTTAGTCTAATTATTAATATGTTTAGATTTAGGTATACTGTTTTAATATTAGTTCTGCTTATTCTATTTTTTCTTCCTGTTTTTACTCATCATTGCCTTCTTTTAGATTACTTAAACATATTTAATATTCCATTTTAATTTATCTATTGTGTTTTGATTGTCTTTTTCCGTAGTCTTTTTTGATGATTTCTCTAAGGATTACAATACACATACTTAACTCTTCAGAGTCTATATAGAATAAATGGCTACCACTTAAACCAGAATATAGAAATCTTACTACCATTTAGGCCCCTTTATGCTTCCCTCTTATGTTGTAGTTATTTCATGTATTTGATCGGCATACATTGAAAAACTCTTAATGTTATTTTTGCTTTCAACCATAAAACATAGTTTAAAGAACTGAGAATAGTTTATTATTTATACTGAGAATTTTACTGTTTCTATTGTTCTTCATTTATTACCGATGTTCCAGTTTCCTTCTGATATCATTTTCCTTTTGGCTGAAGAACCTGGAACACATTGTCTGGCAAAAAATTCTCTTAATTTTCTTTAACATAAAATTTTCTTTATTTGACCTTTATTCCTGAAGTATATTTTTGCTGGATATAGAATTCTAGTTTGACAAGTTTTTTTCTTTTAGTGCTTAAAAAATGTTGCGCCATTTCCTTCTGGCCCCTGTACTTTCTGATAAGAAATCTGTTGTCATACAAATTGTTGTTTCCCTATAAATAATGTGTCATTTTTCTCTGGCTGCTTTTGGTATTTTTTCTTTTTCTTTAGTTTTAAGCAATTTGGTTATGACAAGTCTTAAAGTGAATTTCTTTGGGTTTATCTTATTTTAGGTTCACTGAGCTTCTTGAATTTGTTATACCTTTTGGCAAATTAGAGAAGCTTTCATCTATTATTTCTTCAAGTATTTTTTTCTGCACCACCCTTTTTTTCTCTTCTTCTGGGATTCGAATTGCATAAATGTAAAACTTTTTAGAATTGTCCCACGAGCCTTCAAGCTCTGCTTATTTTTCCAATCTTTTTTGAAAGAAGTTTAATCAGGCCTGTATTCTTCAGTGTGGCTAATATCTTTTGCTCTATCTTCCAGTTTACTGACTCTATCATCTTCATTCTGCCCATCCAATATATTTTCATTTTGGATTTTTTTTAGCTCTAAAATTTCCATTTTGTTTTTCTTTATATCTTCTTTTTGCCAAGACTTTGTCTTTCTATTTGTTTTAACAGTATTTGTATGTACTTCAATTTCTCATATGGAAATTTCTCCTTCTGAAAAAGCTCCTGGACTGTGGCCTATTTATTTGCCCTTTGACTTTGTATCATAGAGTCAGGTACAGAATGCATAAAATAAAAATCGGGTTACTTTAGTTTGCTGCTGCTAGAATTCCAGACGAATGGCAATGTACTGTGTTCATATTGGAATGGCCGCTTTGGATAATTTTTCTCATTTTATGCTTAGAAAGAGAACTAAATGTAGGGTTAATGTCCATGTAAGCAAGGACATAAAATTTAAAAATTACAGTTAAAGGGCTCCAGGTGTGTGGTTTCCTTGGGATCCAATGGGGAAATAAGGTAGAGAAATCTCAGAAATGAAAAAATAATCAGATAGCAGAAGTAAAATGATGTTGGGCTGAGAGATCCTGCCAAAGGGTATGAATTTTGCTTCTGCTAATTTCTACCACTGTATTACTAACAAATCTCTCTACCTCTCTGGGAAACATTTTCAGGAGGGTTGGTTGGGTCTTTGAACTGCATTCCTG